AAGCTTTTCACTTGATCAGAAATGAAATTATGCAGAAAAAATTAAGAGAATCAAGTGATAAGATAAAAAAATGACTTGAGCCTGTGTTAGCATGCACATTTCTATTTCAATTCACCACATTTTCCAATTTACTGGAAACCTCTTAGGATTAAAAATGAAAAGGAAAATATACCATATCTTGATTCTCTTGTCAATAGAACACAAGCTCATTTGACTTTTAGTACGTAAGAAATTAGCAAATAATATGTTTGCTTCCTTTCTAGACTCCTTGAATGCCCTGTACTTGCAAGAGCTCAGTGTCATAAAGGAAGCCCTTCTTACATTAAAGCACAGAGTGTTGACTTGTGGAAGAAACTTTGAGGACAACAATATATATGAATAAAAGAGAATTTCTGTAGTTATCACTATAGTCACTGTTCCACTTTTATTTCTTATGGCCACATCCACAAATGGGACAATGTTTGACAGCTGAGTTTAGCAGAACAGTCTCAACTGAGGTTCCTGAGCAGTCACATAAATACTAGAGTAAGCATGCCAGGGCATGTTTTATAGGAGTCTGCTCTTCTTCACTTTAAGCTATAAATGTAACTTATAAAGCAGAGTACAAAAGACAGAGAATTATCTTCCTTCTCAGTGCCAAAACAGTGGTAGCACTGTGGTATGCAGAAAGCCCATGAAAACACGGGCTCATTTAGACCTGAGTTCAAATCCCAGAGCACTGTGGCTCACACCTGTAACCCTAACACTCTGGGAGGCAAAGGCAGAAGATCACATAAGGTCAGCAATTTGAGATCCACCTGGGTAACATAGGGAGACCCCATTGCTACCAAAAAAAAAAAAGTGGTTTTTTTTTTTTTTTTAAATTAGCCAGGTATGTTAGCATATGTCTATAATCCTAGCTACTTGGGAGTTTGAGGCGGTAGGATTGCTTGAACCCCAGAGTTTGAGGCTGCAGTGAACTATGGTTATACCACTGCACTGTAGCCTGGGTGACAGAGCAAAAACAATACCAAACAACAAACAACAACAACAACAAATTCCAGAGCCAGTATTTACTAGTTGTGGATCACACGTGAGTTACATTCATCTACACAGTTACTCTGGTTTCTACTGCAAATACATAAATGAGATTATTCTTGTATTAAGAACATTATCAGGTGTCTAATAATTTTGGTTCCCTTTGTCCATACAACTTTTTTTTTCCCAAAAAACACATAACATGTAATTTACTTTTAGATGCAAGATTCTCTTCTTTCAACTCCTACCATGACCATTAATGGGTTATTAGGGGTCCTCTAGAATTGTGACTATCCCTAAGTACCTGTGATCAACAGAAATGCACTGTCAGGAGTCAGGCTATTAACACAAAAACTAACTTCTATGACCCCATAGCACTGGCCTCCTGTGTCCAGGCAATGGGACTCCACCAAAAAATACTTATGTTTTAAAATGAGTAAGGAGAAAATATACAAACACCCCAGAGTTCTATATTTTGCCGATAAAACACTCGTAGGCATGGTCTGCACACCCTTCAGTCATTGTCCTTGAACACATCTCAAGGGGTTGATCAGCCTCTGCTTAGTTCAATCTAATCCTTTACCTGTAGGCCTGTCCTTTTGATGGTTTTTCTGGATACCAGTGATTTTTATATTTTTCTTGAAGTATTAGAGTCAATTTCTCAGCAAACCTCTCAACTGCCTCTTTTTTCAACTTATCGTGTTTTCGAACTAGCCTTGTGAAAAAGAAGACAACAGCAGCAATTTCGTTCTTCATTTTTTCTCCTGCAAAGATAAAACATGTTTTCTCAAAAAACCAAAATATAAAAACCAGGAAGATGAAGCTCTTTAAGATATACCTCCTTTACAGGTCTCCCATTCCTCCTTCCCATTTTATCTGGTATTTCTTTGGCTCATACCTGGGGTAGAGAACAATCTACTTATCTTTATGCCATAAAGGCCTTATTATAAAATACTACTTTAAAATCTTATCACTTAGCTTCATGAAGAAGTTCAGTAAAGAGAGCACATTGCTCCTGTTGGCTAAAATAAAACCAGAGCTATCAGTAAATGAAAAGCACTATAATAACTGATACTATGACATAGTTTTTACTGTGTGTGTCAATATTTAGCTGCAATACATTTAAAATTATGTGAAATGATTTGAACTTTAAAACATAAAAAAGTTTACTTTAAAATCTAGTACTGTAGAGACATTTTATAACAGAAAAGTTTGGCAATTCTTAAAAAGGTTAAACATAGAGTTATCATATGACCTGGCCAATTCTACTTCTAGCTATTTGCCCAAGAGAAACGAAAACGTATGTCCACACCAAAACCTTGTATAGGAATGTCCATAGCAGTATTCATAATAGCTAAAAAATAAAAATAATCAACATGTTTACCAACTAAGGAATGGACAGATACTGTGATATACACATGTAGTGGAATATTTTTCAGCAATGAAAAGGAATGACTGCTAATACAAGCTACAATATGAGTGAACCTTGAATACAGAAATCCCCATAGCAGTATTCATAATCGCTAAAAAGGAAAAACAGTATATCTACCAACTAAGGAATGGACAAATACTGTGATATATACATGTAATGGAATATTATTCAGCAGTCAAAAGGAATGAGTACTAATATAAGGACATGGGTGAACCTTGAATACATCACACTAAGGTAAAGAAGCCAGTCACAAATGACCACATATTGTATGATTCCACTGATATGAAATATCCAGAATAAGCAAATCTATATAGACAGAAAACAGATTAGTGGCCTAGTGGGAGGGAAGTGGGAAGCCGAGAAAGGGAGTATTGCTATTAAGTACAGGGTACTTTTTGGGGTGATTAAAAAATAAACTAAATTTCACTATAGTGATGGTTGTACAACTTTGTGAATATACTAAAACCACTGAATTGTATATATTAAATGGGTGAATTGTACGGTATATAAATCTCAAAGCTATTATACATAAAAAATTTCAGCATTGAGTTTCTGTAAGTACTCTTTCAGGAAGAGGGACACATTTATCCAGAAGTTAAGAGACACAAAAAATGGTGGCTCTATCAGGACATAGTTAAGAGAATGGAAATTCAGGGTCACCCACAGAAAAACAAACTAAAAGTAATAATCAGAGAGTTAACTGCATGTTGGATTGCCTCAAATGACTTTAAAAATGCCATATCTGATTTATCATTGATTAATCCTTAAAGGCAAACCCTTGTCCTAAGATTGTTTTGATGTATGTTCTGTCTTTGCTCAATGAGCTCATTCATCTGGCTGCTGTAACTTGGGAGTTATTAAGATGCTGCATTTAGTAAGCAACATCACCTTTTTGGGAGCCAATTACGTATTAAAGACATACAGCCTCTGCTATGTTTAGCATAAAAATAGACTAACCTATCAACAGTTTGTGTTCCCACATTTCCAAAAAAATAAAGACGATTGTTAGCTTTCTTTTCTCGAACTGCTCTTTAAGTCTCGCTTTAGAATGTGACTCCTTTATTCAAAGTGCAAATTCAAACAAGAAACCTCACTGTTAAATAAATTCTACACAGTTATCTGAGGTGTGCTGGCAGCCATAGATAGCCTGATCCTGGAAGGGAAGGCACTCAAATCTTTCTCCCAGAACCCTAGAATACCAAATTCACCTTCTACAACCAGCTACCAGACACTGGGCGTGGGTCCACACAGGAGTGTGGGAATACACGTAATCCCAGCCCACCACGACTGCTGTGCAGCCTCCCCTTGAAAAATGTGAGCCATTTCCACTTTATAAAGCTACATTTACATTCCACCACGATATAATGGGGGGGGGGAACAAGGCAATTTAACATACAGTTGGAAAGAAAGTTTTGCTGATGGAACTACATTAGCCTCCACTCCAACAACACAAACAAGGAACCATACTGAAGAAATTTACCGAATCTTTAACCAGATCATTCTCCTCATTCATTACATTTGCCAACGGTGTGCCACAAATCTGAGTTTTGTACCTGTTTGCTCTGCTTCATATCAAATAAATAGGAAAAAAGGAAGGAAGGAAGGAAAGAACCACTTAGTGGTTGTTTTTGGTTGTAACACAAGATGACTCATATGGACTTTGTTTTCCCCGTTTGAAGAAATGATGGCCGGAACAGCTGAAAAATAAACCCACTCCCACCAGTATTCTACGAATACCAAAAGGTGAAGGAGGGAGAGTTACAGTCAGGGACAGGATCACTAGAGGTAAGCAGGGCCAACAAGACCTCAGGCATCTTGAATAAGTAGGCGTCCTCCACCCACATTCAGAGCAAAAGGCTCCCATTTTAAATATCGCACGGTGACGTCATCCTGGGACCTCGTCACCGCGGCGGCCGCTCCTCAAGTTCTACTTTGTTCCACAAGGCTCCTCTGCTCACGGCTGCGTGGACAAAACCCAAAGGGAACAAGCTCGGCCTGGCAGGAGTTTGCAACTTTGTACTTTTCCCTCCCTTGTAACGAAAACCTCATCACAATCGTTTCTAGGAACACATTTTTCTCCGGATAGACGTTCCCAAGGTGGAGGGCGGGACAAGACTGGCCCGTGGGGCTGCGGAGCCCCGCCGGCCTCAGTGGCGCCACAAAGCGGGCTCTAAACCATTCAGCGGGGAAATAATTTTCCAAGGGACCAGGAGTTTGGACTTTCTGAAGCCATCGAAAACCACCGCAGGCACTCCCGCTGGGGTTTTAAGAGCGAGGTAGGTGAGGAGGCATCAGACATCTCCACCCACTCCTGAAAGAACGGCCTTGAGCTGCGCCCAACTTCTGCAATCCCGGTTTTCCCCAAGTTCAAGGGGAAGGGCCCTGGCGCCCAATGCCCGGCCTCCCCGACAACATCCTGGCCAGGGTGCCCCTGCCCCGCCAGCCCGCGAGTCCACTGTCCCCGGTTCGAGGACCCGGCTTCCTAGAGGAGTGACTCCCCAAACAAGCGGGGTTCCAGAAAACCCACGGACGCGAAGCGGGTGGGTAGAGGATGGGAAGCCGCGGGGCTGCTGCCCAACCCGAGGGGGAAGGTAACGCGCTGTGGAAACGTGCGGGCCGCCCTCGCCGACCCCAGCCCTGCTCTGGCGCGGAGCCGGAGCCCATGCAGCTTGGTTCCATCCCCCGCCCCTCCCCTGTCCACAGTGCGCCGCCCGCCAGCGAGCCTTCGACGTGGCTGCAGGGGCGCCGGGACCACCCTCCCCCGATACCCACAGCCCCGCCATGTCTACGTTCTCCCGGCCCTGTCTCCTCACCGCCGCTGCCGCCGCCGCCGCTCTCCGGTCGGAGATTCGGCGGCCCAGACCTTGTCCTGGCCGGGAACCGAGGGCTCCGCCTCAACGGGCCCGTGCTCGGCAACAGGGAGCTGAACGAGCTTGGTTCGGCGCGTGCGGCTCCCGCGTCGTCGGGCAGCCGAGCGCGCGCTGAGAGGACCGGCGGGCGAGCGAGCGCGCACACGAGAAAGCGCAGCCCCAAAGCGGCGCGCAGGGGTCTTGCGGCCCGGAAGAGGGGAGGGGCGATGACCCGGGAAAGGGTTGGCGCCGCGCGGGATCGGCTCGCGCGCCTGAGGGGCGGTGCCGTGGGCGGGGCTTCGCCTCGAGGCCGCCCCCAAGCCCCGGGCCTCGCCGCGCGGGGGACTACACACCCTCGTCCTGCCTAGACCCAGGCTCAGACCTTCCTCTGCGACGGCGCGGCCCTTAGCACCGCCGGTTCCTTCCCCGGCGAAGAGTCGCGCTGAGGATCTGTGGGACCCCCGCCCGGCTGACCTAGGTGTGTCAGCGCCTTCGGGGGTCGCGCGGGCTCGGTCCTTTCGGCTGTCTCGGCCTTTGTTTCCCCCTCAGGTCTCTCCACGCTGCACTTGACACCCTCAGGGCTAGATGGCAAGTTCTAGAACCAGCTCTCTAGACCCAGGGCTTCATGGGAGACACAGACTCGACGGGAAGGGGAACTTTGCATTTATGAACAGATCCTCATCCTTCTTGCTGCAGTTAATTACAGGCTCGTTAACTGTGCAGCTGCCCTGCTGTATTTTAGGCGGTTGTTGGCACTCCTAGTTGGGCACTTCCCTGGCCCCTCACAGCAGGGACTGTTGTGTGCTGCCCTGGCACTGGCTTCTGTGTTTTGCACAAAGGAGAGGCTCCAGGGATGTTGGCCAAAGGAATGAAGCCTTGAGAGTCCAGGCTTTCTATTTCTGAGACACTTCTACTCAAGGACTTCCCAGATGCATACTCTTTGAGCAAATACAAATATGGAGAGGGAGCATTAACTTTCTGAAGAAAAGAAGGAACATCTTTTTCAACCTTTTATATTGAATTAGCACCATGGTCTTAGTTTTGTGAAAACACTTTAGTACATCAAACTGGCTGGAGGAATAAGAGATATTCCTACCTTTTAATTATTATTATTAAAAGAGGGCTAAAACATGTTGTAAATTACTTAAGAACTGAATGTTCAAGTTATACAGTATATCAGCCAGATTTCTTACTGCCCACTAGGCCTGGGAGCATGTTTTCAGCTCAGTTTTATGAATGTTTTAAATTTTTGTTACTGATGTTTGTTATTATAGCCCATTAGTAGTTCAAAATAATTTTTTAGCAGTAATAAATATACCATCCCCAAAACAGTACAATAAACTTTATTTGTTAAAAAAAAATACTGTTCTAGAACTAAGTCTACTTACTGGTACATTTAAAGAGAATATTTACACCTTGGAGTCTTCTAGGAGGTGTGAAGGTGTTTTTATTTTAAAATCATAACAATCTGATGAGGTTATTTTTACAAATCAAGGCCTTTAATTCTGCAGTTTCATAAAATAGCTAGCTAACCACCCACATTACTCAAAATTCATCCAGAAATTTCTGTAGTTTGTGATTAGTATTTTGTGTAGTATTTATAAATCTATGATCCACATTTTCCAGTCTTAAAGCAGTACCATATTCAAAAAACACAGGCAAGAACTTAAAACCCAATTTCAAAATGACTTTTAAAAAATTCTCAGGCTGAGCACTGTAGCTCATGCTTATAATCCCGAGGAGGGAAGATCGATTGAGCCCAGGAGTTCAAGACCAATTCAGCCAACATCATGAAACCCCATTTCTTTCTTTCTTTTTTTTTGAGACAGAGTCTCGCTCTGTTACCAGGCGCCAGGCTGGAGTGCAGTGGCACAATCTCAGCTCACTGCAACCTCCACCTCCCGGGTTCAAGCAGTTCTCCTGCCTCAGCCTCCCAAGTAGCTGGGACTACAGGGGCACGCCACCTACCCAGCTAATTTTTATATTTTTTTAGTAGAGACGGGGTTTCACCATGTTGGCCAGGATGGTCTCGATCTCTTGACCTGGTGATCTGCACACCTCGACCTCCCAAAGTGCTGGGATTACAGGCTTGAGCCACCGCACCCAGCCTATGAAACCCCATTTCTACAAAAAATCCACAAATTAGCCAGGTGTGGTGGCACGCACTTGCAGTCTCAGATACTCTGGAGGCTTGGGTGAGAAGATCACCTGAGCCCAGGAAATTGAGGCTGCAGAGAGCTATGATGACGCCATGGCACTCCAGCCTGGGCAACACAGCAAGACAGCGTTGAACACAGTGAAATAGACACAAAGCAAACAGTGTATTTTAAATACTTTTTCTGTCATCTGCTTCTCTTGCACACACAGTAGTTGTTTTTGTGCCTCTTTTAAAACTTGCCCTACTCTTTTCCAGCCCTGGCTGTGTGCTTCAGATGCTTTGCCCCAGCTCTCTTTCCTTCTGAGTTGGAATCACAAAATCATACATGAATCGGTCAGGCAAGGCAGAGCCCGCCTCTTTATGGGACTGGAAGAGGAGAGCTGCTATGAACTCAATGTTTATGACCCTCAAAATATTCCTGCGTTGGAGACTAAATCCCCAATGTGATAGTATTTGGAGGTGGGGCTTTGGGAGATAGGTCATGAGGGTAGAACCTTCATGAATGGGATTAACGCCCTTATAAGTAGAGACACAAGAAAGAGATGATCATTCTCTCTGCTCTCTTGCCAGGTGAGGATACAAGAAGACAGCAATCCACAAAGCATACCCTCACCAGACACCAGATCTGCTGGCACCTTGATCTTTAACTTCCCCACCTCCAAACTGTAAGAAATTTGTTGTTTAAGGCACAGTCTATAGTATTCTGTGATAGCATTCTGAAATAAGACAGGAGCAGAACTGATGTAAATAATTACAGTAGTTCCACCTTATCCATGGTAGTATCCACCCCAGTGGATGTCCGAAACTGCACATGGTACCAAACCCTATATATAATTTTGTTTTTTTTGAAAGGGGGTTTTGCTCTTGTCACCTAGGCTGGAGTGCAATGGCGTGATCTCAGCTCACTGTAACCTCCACCTCCTGGGTTCAAGTAATTCTCCCCCCTCAGCCTCCCGAGTACCTGGGATTATAGGCGCCCGTCACCACACCCAGCTAATGTTTGTATTTTTAGTAGAGACTGCTGGCCTCAGCCTCCCAAAGTGCTGGGATTACAGGCGTGAGCCACCAGGCCTGGCCAAACCCTATATATAATTTATAAATTAGAAACAGTAAGAGATTAACAATAATTATAATAACACAACAATTATTACAGTAATAAAAGTTATGTGAATTTATGCTCTCGCTCTCTCAAAATATCTTATTGTACCGAATCACTGATAACTAAAACGGGTGAAAATGAAACCAGAAATAAGAGGGAATAGTATACAGATTAATATGTATTTCCATTTCACAGCTAACCTTAAGATATTCACTTCTATTGTGTGTTAATGGTGTAGTTTGTTGTAGCACAAGTGGGTTCTTATGAAAATGGGCCATTCTAATAGGTCTGGGGCTTTATAATCACAGGAATCATCACACACGTCCTGCAGTTTTATCTCAAAGTTGCAGAGAATGCAACTTAAGAGTCAACAAAATCTGTGAAATAGCTTTCAAAATCAGGACTTATTTTCTCTAAATAACTATGTGATTCTTTAAAATCCTTTGAGCTCAAGAGTTCAGCATTAAAAACAAAATAGTCGACGGGGCATGGTGGCTCACACCTGTAATTACAGCGCTTTGGGAGGCCAAGGCAAGTGGATTGCCTAAGGTCAGGAGTTCGAAACCAGCCTGCCCAAAATGGTGAAACCCTATCTCTACTAAAAATACAACAATTAGCCAAGTGTGGTGGTGCGCACCTGTAATCCCAGCTGCTCAGGAGGCTGAGGCAGGAGAATGGCTTGAACCTGGAAGGTGGAGGTTGCAGTGAGCTGAGATCATTGTGCCACTGCACTTCAGCCTGAGCAGCAGAGCAAGACACTATCTAAAAAAGAAATGAAAAGAAAAAAAAAGCGAGTCTTGGATAGCATCTTCTCAATTCACTTGTCAAGTTTGAATCTAAATACAAAATAATTACTTTTATAATGGACACAGAGGATTTGTGTTATGTTAGTTACATTAGCTATGCAGAGAAACTGGTATGTGACATAGAGGATGTTACATTATGTTATGTAACATCAAAGAAAAGTATGTGCAGCCTTTTGGGACCTTTGGAGGTCTAGCAAGTAGGATCTAAGACTGTAATTTTAAGAACACTTCAACACATTTCTTCAAAAACTTCCAGGACTTAGCCACGTAATTAAATTAAAATAAACTAAATCTACTTCTGTTGTGTTAACCATCCATAAAGCAGCAGTGGTTAAAAAAATAAGCATAAAGAAAATTTGCAATCTTCATTATTTTCTGAATTACATTATGCAATAAAACTGACTTCCAAAAGTCAAAACACAAGCTCTTTTGATAAATGAGGCAATGGAAACTGGGCATACCAACCTCCTATTTTGAGTTGCATTAACTGTGGAAACTCTCCTCCCTGCCTCAAAGAGGCCTCAAACATGGCTCATCTTTTTCGGAAGAAAATGTTTTGATCAAACTTTTCATATTATTGATTGGTTAAGATTTATGTGAACTAGGTTAGGGTGATGTATACATTATAACTCTCAGTGGGCCAGACACTCTAGGCTTCGGTAGAGCTTCATATTGGAGATCCCTGGTGTAAAATTTCCCTGCTTGGCAGGAGAGGTGCCATTGTTGTTGGATTTCTTTGACAATACTATTCTCCATGCCAGCAGAGAAACTTACTTTTATTAGTGAGTAATATATAAACTCCTATCTTTATTGTATTAAAAATATAGGTATACAGGCAAACCTCAGAGATATTGCGGGTTTAGTTCTGAACCACCGCAATTAACTGAATATTGCAATAAAGCAAGTCCATACTTTTTGATTTCCTAAGCATATTAAAGTTATGTTTACACTACTTGTAGTCTATTAAGTGTGCAGTAGCATTGTGTCTAAGAAGTATTTAATTAAAAAATGCTTTATTGCCCAAAAATGCCAATAATAATAATCTGAACCTTCAGGGAGTCCTAATCTTTCTCCTAATGGAGGGTCTTGCCTCAATGTTGGTGACTGCTAACTGATCAGTGTGGCGGGTGATGAAGGTTAAGGTGGCTGTGGCAATTTTTAAAAATAGAACAATCATGAAGTTTGCTGCATTGATTGACTCTTCTTTTCTTTTCATGGAAGATTTCTCTGGTAACTTGTGATGTTGTTTGGTAGCATTTTACTCACAGTAGAACTTCTTTCAAAATGGTAGTCCATCTTCTCAAACCCTGCTGCTGCTTTATCAACTAAGTTTATGTAATATTCTAAATTCTATGTTGTCATTTCAACAACGTTCACAGCATCTTCACCAAGAGTAGATTCCATCTCAAAACACCATTTTGTAGCCAGGCACCGTGGTTCACACCTGTGATTTCAGCAACTTGGGAGGGATGGCTTGAGTCCAAAGAATTAAAGGCTGCAGTAAGCCATGATCACACCACTGCACTTCAGCCTGGACAACAGGAGACACTCCTCATTCGTTCAAATTTTATCATTAAATCGCACCAATTCGGCCACATCTTCATGGTCCACTTCTAATTCTTTTGCTGTATCTACCCCATCTGCAGTTTCTTCCTCCACTGAATTCTTGAATCCCTCAAAGTCATTCATGATGACTTTAATCAGTTAGCAGTCACCAACATTGATTCATGATGGTTGGAATCAGCTTCTTCCAAACTTCTATTAATGTTGATATTTTGACTTTCTCCTATGAATTGCTTATGTTCTTAATGGCATCAAGAATAGTAAACCCTTTCCATAGGTTTTCTATTTACTTTGCTCAGAGCCATCAGAGAAATCACTATCTATGGTAGCTATAGCCTTATACATGTATTCCTTTTTTTTCTCCAAAAAAAAGTGCCTGGCGGTTTTTTTGTTTGTTTGTTTTTTGGTTTTTGGTTTCTTTTTTGAGATGGAGTCTCACTCTGTCACCCAGGCTGGAGTGCAGTGGTATAATCTCATCTCACTGCAACCTCAGCCTCCCAAGTTCAAGTGATTCTTCTGCCTCAGCCTACCGAGTAGCCAGGACTACAGGCATGCACCACCATGCCTGGCTAATTTTTGTATTTTTTTTTTCTTTTTTTTAAATTTCTTTTTTTTTTTTTTTAAAGAGACAGGGTTTCAAAATGTTGGCCAGGCTGGTCTCGAACTCCAGACCTCAGGTGATCCAAGCCTCAGCCTCTCAAAGTGCTAGGATTACAGGTGTGAGCCACCACACCCAGCTAATTTTTCTATTTTTAGTAGAGACGGGTTTCGTTATGTTGGCCATGCTGGTCTTGAACTTCTGACCTTACGATCTGCCTGCCTCAGCCTCGCAAAGTACTAGGATTACAGGCATAAGTTACTGCACCTGGCCATGAATGTATTTCCTAAATAATAAGACTTGAAATTCTAAATTATCCCTTAATCCATGGGCTACACAATGGACGTTGTGTTAGAGGGCATGAAACAACATTAATCTCCTTGTACGTATCCATCAGAGCTCTTGGGTGACTAGGTAAATTGTCAGTGAGTAGTAATACTTTAAGAGGAAACTTTTTTTCTGAACGATAAGTCACAACAGTAGACCTAAAATATTCAGTAAGCCATGCTGTAAATGGATGTGCTGTCATCTAGGCTTTGTTGTTTTATTTCTAGAATATAATGCAGAGAATATTTAACATAATTCTTAAGAGCCCTAGGGTTTCCAGAATGATAAATGACCACTGACTTCAACTTAAAGTCACCAGCTGCATTATCCCATGTTAAGAGAGTCAGCCAGGCTGGGTGCAATGGCTCAAGCCTATAATCCCAGCACTTTGGGAGGCCAAAGTGGGTGGATCACTTGAAGCCAAGAGTTCAAGACCAGCCTGACCAACGTGGTGAAAACCCGTCTCTACTAAAAATATAAAAATTGGCTGGGCATGTTGATGCATGCCTGTAATCCCAGCTACTCAGGAGGCTGAGGCTGGAGATTCCCTTGAGCCTGGGAGGCAGAGGTTGCAATGAGTCAAGTTGGCGCCATTGCACTCTAGTCTGGCAGGCTGCATGACAGAGCAAGCCTCTGTCTCAAAAAAAAAAAAGAGAGAGAGAGAGTCAGAGAGTCAGGCTATACTTTGTGAAGCTAGGCATTGACTTTGACTTCTCTCTAGCTATGAAGGCCTAGATGGCAACTCCTTCCATTATAAGGTTGCTTTGTTTCCATTGAAAATCTGTGATGTTGTTTAGTGTAGTCACCTTCATCCATGTTCTTAGCTAGATCTTCTGCATAAATTGCTTTAGTTTCTCCATCAACATTTGCGGCTTCGCCTTGCACTTTTATGTTACGGAGATGGCCTTTTTCCCTAAACCTCATGGACCAACCTCTGATAGCTTCCAACTTTTCTTTTTTTTTTTTTCTAAGACGGGGTTTCACCATGTTGGTCAGGCTGGTTTTGATCTCCCGACCTCAGGTGATCCGCCTGCCTTGGCATCCCAAAGTGCTAGGATTACAGGCGTGAGCCAACATGCCCGGCCAAGTTTCCAACTTTTCTTCTACAGCTGCCTCACCTCTCTCAACCTTGGTAGAATTGAAGAGAGTTAGGGCCTTGCTCTGGATTAGGCTTTGGCTTAAGGGAATGTTGTGACTGGTTTGATTTTCCATCCAGAAACTAAAACTTTCTCCATATCAGCAATATCATGCTATCTTATCATTTGTATATTCCCTGGAGTAGCACTTTTAATTTCCTTCAGGAACTTTTCTTTTGTATTCACAACTTGGCTGACTGTTTGGCACAAGAGCCCTACCTTTTAGCCTGTATCAACTGACGTTTGCCGTCCTCACTAAACTTAATCATCTCTAGCTCTTTTTTTTTTTTTTCTGAGATGGAGTCTCGCTCTGTCACCCAGGTAGGAGTGCAATGGCGCAATCTCAGCTCACTGCAACCTCTGCCTCTCGGGTTCAAGCGATTCTCCTACCTAAGTCTCCTGAGTAGCCAAGATTACAGGCATCTGCCACCAAGCCCAGCTAATTTTTATATTTTTAGTATAGAGGGATTTTCAGCATCTTGGCCAGGCTGGTCTCGAACTCCTGGCCTTGTGATCCACCTGCCTTGGACTCCCAAAGTGCTGGGATTACAGGCGTGAGCCACCATGCCCTGCATGCCCAGCCCATTTCTAGCTCTTGATTTAAATTGAGAGATGTGTGACTCTTTTCACTTGAACACTTGGAGGCCATTGTAGGGTTATTAATTGGCCTAATTTCAATGTTGTTGTGTTTCAGTATAGAGAAGCCCAAGAGACTTCTTGGGAGAGAGACAGTGGAATGGCAAGGTCAGTAGAGCAGTCAGAACACATGTAACATTTATCAATTAAGTTCACTGTCTTATGTGGGTGTGGTTCATGGCACCTCAGAACAATTAAAATAGTAACATCAAAGATGACTATCAAAAATTACCTTAATAGATATATTAATTTTGAAAAAGTTTGAATTATTGTAATTACCAAAATGTGACACAAAGTGATCACAAACTGTTGGAAAAATCATGCTTATACACTTGCTTGACACAAGGTTGCCGAAATCTTCAACTTGTAAAAAAAAAACATGCAATATTTGCAAGTTGCAATTAAGTGGTGGGCAATAATATGAGGTATGCCTGTATTCAATTAGCAAAAGATTTGGAAATATTGTAAAAGAAAGAGCTGCTTGAAATACAACTGCATTAATCAGGGTCCTCTAGAGTCAGAACCAATAGGAGGCGCAGAGAGGAAAAAAATAAATAAAATTTTTTTAAAAAGAGAGAGAGGAGAGATTTATTTTAAACAATTGGCTCATGCAATTGTGGGAGCTAGCAAGTTTGAAATCTATAGGGCAAGCTGGCAGGCTGGAAACTCAGGCAAGAGTTGAAGTTACAGTCTTAAACCCAAAATCCATTTGCAAGATTTTCATGTTATGGTTTTGAGGCAGAATTTCTTCTCCAAGAAACCTCAGTTTTTGCTCTTAAACTGTTCAACTGATTGAAATCCACCCACGTTATTCAGGGTAATCTCCTTTACTTAAAGTCAATTGAGCATAAATATTAAGCACATCCACATCTAGCAGTCTGGATGAGGGCACCATAGTTTAGCCAAGCTGACATGTCAAATCAACCATCACAACAACCTTCATTTAATAGCATTTTCTTACAGGCATGATGATAAGTAGGTTCAAAAACATAAATCCCCCAGTGAACAACATGAAGCATGTTCTTATTAAGAAAACAAATTACCTTGCTTTTATTTCGTCTTTGCTCTTTTCAGTCAATTATGTGGTAGTGAGGATGGAGTGGGAGCAGAGGAAGGAGGATTTAAGGTCTGTTTTCAGGAGCATCTGCTGCATAACCATGTCAAATATTTGTGCTAGAGCACTGGGAACAGTGCACACATTAGAAAGGATCAAAAGAGGAACAATAAATTGCTCACAATCCAGTCAAAGATACTGTTATAAATTAATGTGACCCCTGCAAAATTCAGGTGTTGCTGATGAGATCAATAGTACCAAGAGATGGGACCTTTAGAAGGTAATTAGGCCATGAGGGCTCCTCTCTGGTGAACAGGATTAGGTGCCCTTATAAAAGGGCTTGATGGAGGCTGTTCATTCCACTTGCCTTCTGCCATGTGAGGACACATCATTCCTCTTCTCTGGAGGATGCACCTCTCACCAGATAATACAACCTGCTCGCACCTTGATCTTGGACTTCCCAGTCTCCAGAAATGTGAGAAATAAATTTCTGCTCTTTATAAATGACCCAATTCCAAGTATTTTCTTGTGGCAGCACAAACAAACTAAGACAGGTGAGCAATCTACTTTACACATTACAGGTTGTATTATGAATTAAATACCACATAAAGGTATAAAGGCAATAATGGTGTAGGTATATAATAGGGTGTGTATGTGATTGAGGCCCCAGCTGAAAGGAAGTTTCACAGACTTATGAGGGCATCATTGCAAACCTTCTTTCTAATTTTCTGATGCAGGCTGGTGGAAAGGGAGAAGGCATAAACATAAAGTAATTGCTTTTTAGGCAGAGTCATTCCTTTAATGCGGACAACATCAGTTGCACCACAGAGATGGCTAGAATTAATCAGATTCACACAGCAAGTCCTGACACTTGATGGCTTAATTAGGGTGATTATGGGTAGGCTTTTAAATTCTGCTTTGTCAGCAGATGACCCAATAAAATGTTACCATAAAGATCATGTTCCCACCCCACCCCAGCCCAGGAGGAGCTAAAACTTGGACTATAGTTAGTACATTAATAATGTTTGTGATGTGGTTGGCAAAATAGTTTGTAATTATGTGCTTATGAAAGTGGTAGGAGGTAATTGGAGCAGGTCAGGTTTTTCTTTACTTTGTAGGAAGTTTTAACTCTTTTTGTGATACAAAAAGACATATCTATATATAAGGCATATATGTATATGCTTTATTTCAGGGGAACATGAAAAGAGATTTATGACAGAAATTTTTTTGCCAGTGTTTTTATCCTAGTTTAATGTGCTCACAAGTAGCTTTTTTTCAGAAGGAAAGGTGAGACTAATAAACTAACCATGACCTGTATCATTAGCAACAACCAAAACACAATGGAGGTATTATGTATGGAAGGAAAGAGAGTAGAATGAACTTGTTAGGTTTGTGATTTTGTTTTCTTTTGTTTTTGTTTGTAATTGTAGACTTGTAAATATTGAACTATCAGGGAGCTGAGGAACCAAAAGGGGAGAATAATTTTTCTCCCTGAATGTTCAACATATATGTAATATAAAAAGATGCAATATAAAAATGTAATATGGGGGGAGGAGAAAAAAATGTAGTATAGAAAGACACTAAAATATTTCAGAGCAACAACTATTGGGAGAATATATTCACTAGTCCTTCAATATGGGTGTGTAGCTTATGCTAATTTCACTGGGTATTCTCAAGTATATAATCTGTTTAATTTGAAATATCTAAAATCAAGTGATGACTTTTTTTTTTTTTTTGATACAGGGTCTTACTGTGTCACCCAGCTCAAGCAATCCTCCCACCTCAGCTTCCTGAGTAGCTGGGACTGCATACATGTGCCAAGACGCACAGCTAATTTTTATATTTTATATTTTATTTTTTTGTAGAGATGGGATTTTACCATGCTGCCTAGGCTGTTCCTGAACACCTGGGCTCAAGATGTCCACCCACCTTGGCCTCCCAAAGTGCTGAGATTACAGGTGTGAGCCACTACACCCAACCAAAGTGATGACTCTTTATTTTGGAAGTATTGATTAATTCTGGACTCTTTATTTCTGTGATGTATTTTTTATTCAGTTTTATTGTTTTGTAGGCAGATAATTCATTAAATACATAACTAAATGTTTTAAACAATATTTTAGTTTGTGCGATTACTGATATATTCGTATTCACCAGTCAGAAAAAAAAAAGTAATATAAGAGACTTTCAAAAATGGTTAAGTCCAGAGGCAGCACCTCTCTCTCTCTCTCTCTCTCTCTTTCTCTCTCTCTCTCTCTCTCTCTTTCTCTCTTTCCTTTTTGAGACAGAGTCTCGCTCTGACACCCAGGCTGGAGTGCAGTTGCACGATCTCTGCTCCTGGCAACCTCCATCTCCTGGTTTCAAGTGATTCTCCTGCCTCAGCCTCCTGAGTAGCTAGGACTACAGGTGCATGCCACCACACCTGGCTATTTTTTTTTTTTTTTGGTATTTTTAGTAGAGACAGGGTTTTGCTGTGTTAGTCAGGATGATCTCGATCTCCTGACCTCAAGATCTGTCTGCCTCAGCCTCCCAAAGTGCTGGGATTACAGGCGTGAGCCACCATGCTCAGCCTCTTCTCTTCTTTACATTCATTTCCTCCGTGTTTGAACTTATCCCATGGTTTTCAGTACTGCCTGTGTGAGAAGACTCCCTAACTAATCAATTCCAGCTTCAGATAGTCCTCTGAACTTCAAACTTTTGTATCTAACAATATAATGGACATCTCCACTCAGATAGCTGATAGGCATTTCATACATAACATGTCCCAAGGTAAACAATTGTTTGCCCCTGTCCCTCAACTCCCACTAAACTTGCTACTCCTCTTTGTTATCTCATATCTTTTTTCCCCATGGCTTGGACCAAAAATTTTGGAGCCAACAGTGACACCCCTCTCCCCCCAACACCCTATAAGCTATCCCTGAGTGGGTTAAACCTGATTTTCAACTCTTTTTGAGACACTTAAGTAGCAGTTTTAAATGGTTCAACCCAAGGTATCCAGAATCAAACCATTCCTATCTCCATCACAACCTTTCTAGTTCAAGCTGTTGTATGAACGATTGTAACATTTGCCTAACTGCATTCTTTTCTTTTTTTTTTGAGACGGAGTTTCACTCTTGTTACCCAAGCTGGAGTGCAATGGCGTGATCTCGGCTCACCGCAACCTCTGCCTCCTGGGTTCAGGCAATTCTCCTGCCTCAGCCTCCTGAGTAGCAGGGATTACAGGCACGCGCCACCATGTCCAGCTAATTTTTTGTATTTTTAGTAGAGACGGGGTTTCACCATGTTGAGCAGGATGGTCTCGATCTCTTGACCTCGTGATCCACCCGCCTCGGCCTCCCAAAGTGCTGGGATTACAGGCATGAGCCACCGTGCCCGGCCCGGTATTCTACACAGGGTAGTTCACAGTGATCCTTTTATCATGTAAGGCTGATGTTGTCATATCTCTGCCCCAAACCTCCATGGGCTCCTCATTTCACCCACAGTAAGAGACCAAGGTCTCACAATATTCTCCCCACGGAGCTGACCGCTCATTTCCTTTCTTCCCCCAGCCCATGCTTTCTCCCTCTCTTGCTTGCTTCATCTCCTGCCATACTCCCATCTCATTTCAATCCAGTCTCATAATCTGTATTAGTTTTCTATTGCTTCCCTAACAAATGACCACAAATTGCCACACCCTTAGCAGCTTAAAGCAACATAAATTTATTATCTCACAGTTCTGTAGTTTTGAATGGTGAGCTGTCTTGGCTGTTTCCTCTGTTGGTGGAATCCAGTGCCCTCAGTTTGCAGGACTGAGGTCGCTGTTTCCTCACTGGTGTCAGCTAGGGCCCGCCCTTATCTCCCAGAGGACAATCCTTGCTCATGGGTCCTTCTGTCTCAGAGCCAGTAACAGGTGCCTGCTGTCCTCATATTTGGAATCTCTCTGATTTTTCCCTTCAGCTGAATCTCTCTTGTTGCAGCCAGAAAAAGTTATTTGCTTTTAAAGGCTCATATGACTAGATTGGACCCACCCGGATAATCTAGTATAATGTGTTTATCTTAGATTATAAACACCATTTGCATCTGCAGTTTCTTTGCCAGATAATATAACAAATTGGCAAGTTCCAGGCATGTGGGCATGGACATCTTTGGGGGACCACTATCTGCCTACTATATGGTCTCTTAGCCATGCGTGCTTCCACCTCTGGTCCCATAAGCTTTCTGTCCTGCTACCTGGAATATTGTTCCCCTGGACAATTACACAGCTCATTACACAGCAGATCCTTGCCCAGTTATCACCAGATCCTACTGGCCTCTCTGCCCAGCCTGTAAAAGAAACATACCCCATCATACTTTTTTATAAACCCCTTAACCTGCTTTTTGTTTTCTTTTCTAACCACCATCTGACAGAATGTATTTATTTATCTATTATATGTCTCCCTCTACTAAGAGCTTTGAGAGAAGCAACTTCAACTTATTTGCTCCTGGATTTGTACTACCTAGACCAGTTTCTTGTACATAGTAAAATGTTCAATAAATATTTGTTGAACGACCAAAAAACAGCCCCAGAGGTCCCAGTGCGTTAACCATGTTTGAGAAAAAATATGAGTCCACTAACTCTGAATTTACCTAAGGAACTATTTGTTTTTTCAAACAACTTACTCATAAGAATATCATTAGTTTGTCAAATGCCTTGCTGAGGTAATTACAGCAACTTCTATAGATATCTCCTGATGCTCTGAGAGAAAACAAATAATTGGTTGTGTATTTCAAAATAGATAGAAAAGGAGAATTGTAATGTTGCCAGCACAAAGAAAAGTGTTCGACGTGATAAATATCCCAATTACCCTGATTTGATCATTACACATTATATATATGTATCAAAATAACCATGTATCCCAAAATATATACAACTATGATATATAATTGATATATTAATTTTAAAAAAGAAAACAATTAGTTTGGCATTATTGTCCTTGGTGTACCTAAACTAGCTCAAAGTTTCCAATCTCTTTCATCTCTAATTGCTGATGAACTTTTTATTAATCTGTACTAAAATCTTTAAAGAGTTCAAGATCAAGTCTATAGTTTTCAGAATCACTTTTCATCCTCTTTTAAAAGCAGGACATATACCATTTCCAAATTCTTAATATTTCTCTTATATTAAACATTTCCTCATTTAATTACTTATCAACAGTGTACCCTAAATCTACAAATGATTCTAGAGCCAGAGATATTAATCACCTCACGGCAAAGTTACTGTTTCTTCTTTTTCTTTAATCCTCACCTTAGGATGTTAGCTCTGTTCTTTTTTATTTAAGGTTGCTTTTCTTGGAATAAAGAATGAAACAAAATGGGATTCTGAAGGATTTACTCTTGTCTCCATCTGCACTGAGCAGGAGTCTGAACACTTTCTCTGAACTTAGCAAAACAGCTTTTTAAGAACCATTAGCCCATTTTGACATTTAGCCTTCCCTTCACCATTGTTCCAGGTTTTAGCCAATGACTTTTTTATTTGCAGCTGGTCCACCTTATGCAGTCTTTTTGGTTTCCTATGCATTTCCCATTTTTCTTTCTTCACAGGTATTATTTTTTTGTATACGGACAGACTATTTTAGAATCACCCATTTCTCATGAGCCATTTTCTATTTTAGATCTTTGTCAATGCAAGCATACCTATCCCTTGGAATTAAAACAGCTTTTTTTAAAAATAATTTTTGAGCACATGCTAAATGTAAGCAAGAAAATGTGCTATATACTGCAGAGCAGTTTTTTTCTCAAAGTTTGGTTCCTGGACCACCTGAATCTGAATCATGGGGTGGTGATAATGGTATTTGTTACCATGTAGATTACCAATTAATCAGAATTTGAAGAGAGTAGATTGGAGACTTGGGAATCAACATTTTTTCTTTGTTGTTTCTTACTTGAGAAAAGTTTCCAAAAGAATCAGCATTTTTTTTTCAGCAAGTTTCTCAGGTTATAATTTTCAAAGCCTGAGAAATTTATCTGTCAAGGATCTGAAGAAGCATAAGTCCCTCCTGATAAGGAGCTAATGCTATATTTAAGATGATATGGTATAAAAATAACATATAAATAATGACCGGCATAGACAATCAGTGCACTTGAGTCAGCAAGTGCAGCTGTTAGGAATAAAGTAGCAGGTGCTAAGGCTGGCTTCATAGAGCAGATGTTTATTGCTCATAAAAAACACTCGAGAGAGATCCAAGATGGCCTATTAGCAGCAGCTCAGGATTGTAGCTCCCAGTGAAAGCGCAGAGAGTGAGTGGACACCACACTCCCAGACGAATTTTTGTTGCCCACAGACCAGGAGATTCCCAGCGGAGGAGCCCCACAGGTCACCAGCGCGACTCTTTTGGCCGGTGCGGCTGTATTGCCAGCGCCCCGGTGTGGCGGTTCTCAGTTCTCAGTATACTGGTCTGGATGCCCTTTTAGTTGACATTTGGAGCTCCAGGAAGGCAGAGTCGCCCATTCAGCTGATTGAAAAGGGGACTGAAGCGGGGAGCCAAACGGAGATTCCTGGGCAGAAAAGCGCCACGAATCTCAATGCTGCTGTTTCAGCCAGTGCAGTGGGTCGCTGCAGGAGAAATTACATAGATTCCGGCGTCTTTTCAGTGGGCGACTGGAACACCTGGGAGAGAGTCGACTGTTCAACTAAAAAAAAAAAGTAGAAGAGGCTCTGAGACAGGGAGCCAGGTGATCGGGCTCGGCTAGTCCCACTCCCCACACAAAAAACAGCAACTGGAAGTGCTGAGGATTGAGAGTTTCACAGCAAGCACAGCTGAACCCAGGAAGGTCCAGCTCTGTGGGGGAGGGGTGTCCGCCGAAGGTAAACTAAGAAACAGAAAAAACTTCATCACCAACAAGCTGGATGTGCACTCAGAGACCCAATCTGAAAGTCAGCAATTACAAAGACGACAGGTGGATAAATTCACAACGATGGGAAGTAACCAGTGCAAAAAGGCTGAAAACACCCATAATCAGAATGTCTCTTCTCCTACAGGGGATCACAGCTCCTCATCAGCAACGAACAAGGCCTGATGGAGAATGAGTGTGATGAATTGACAGAATCAGGCTTTAGAAGGTGGATAATAAGAAATTTCTGTGAGCTAAAAGAACATGT